TCCGTTAAGTATTGAAGGAATTATGAGTGTCCCTGTTGCTTAAAAAATACGTTTATTGGTTTTAATTAAAAAAAGTCATGTAGAAATCTGTAATAATTCCTGCGGCAGCGTATCGATAATTAATACTCACATTCCAAATTCATACAGATCCGTTAAGTATTAAAGGAATTATGAGTGCCCCAGTTGCTTAAAAAATACGTTTATTGGTTTTAATTACAAATAATTCATGTAAAAACTGTAATAATTCCTGCGGCAGCGTATCGATAATTAATACTCACATTCCAAAATTCATACAGATCCATTATGTATGGAAGGAATTATGAGTGTCCCCGTTGCGCGAGTCCGCTTGCGAGTTCGCAGGCGGGTCCGTAGAATTGTCGATTGAGTCAAAACTAAATATTTTGTAAAGGCTCGTAAAAGTCTCGTTCGGTGGTCCAATTAACTATTAATCGTTAGGTTGTCACACTAAGAATGAACTGATCATAAGCTCCGTTAGATTGAAATGAGTTCCTAAGTAATGTTTGAATTGTTTACATCTTGATTATTAAGCATAATTCGAACTCATGATTTACATAGCCGTTCACAATGTTGATCACAAATCAAACAAGAAGTGAAGTTAAAGAGAAGTGTTGTAAAAAAGGGAGCGCAGCCGTGCACCACCAATTTTGTGCAACAATAAGCCCTGAATCGAACGCCTTGGATATCTCCGGACATACACCAATCAGCCGTGCACCACTCGGCTTCGTCCTCTTCCGGCCTTGACCACAACCTGCCGTGCACCACCAGGCCGCGGACCGAATATGACTTCCGGGCATCGTTAAATTACGGAATTTCACGTTCACCGCGTCTGAGGTTAGGTTTCAGATAACATAGTTCTGTTCCAAAATTTATCGTCCTTCGACGAGTGGCCGTTCGACCGAGGGCTGGTTCGACCTCCGGCCTAGATACGGACGGCTTGAAGTGTTTAAGCAATGACGCAAGCAAATCAAAGTTTTCCGATCGCAGGTCGCTTATATCAATTGTGATCTCATTTCACTTTTTTAAGGCTACGTTCCGGAAGGCAGGAATCATGATGGTCCATTACATCCAGGGCAGTGGTGGTCTTCGGCAGGCGACCCCACAAAAAAGAGGATCCGCCAGTTTTCCGTAGTTTTGGAATCTACAGACCGTTGACAATGAAGATTGCGGATTCGGTTCACCGGTAGGCAAGAACGCAAGATAGAAACCTCGTTGGAAGTCATCGGGCCGTCGGGCGTTGAGGTCGTTGCTTCCTTGCAACCTTGAACCTTCGAACTTCATAAGAAATCATCATTTAACTGTTTCATTTGCATATCAAAGTTATGATATATAGCCTATCATTAATATTACTTGGTAGGCTAAATGGTAATGTCAGCCCATGATAGGACAATCAAACCGGCTTCCACTACCAGTAATGAAGATGATGATCCCGTTGAACGAATGCTGAAAAAAGCTGGCTGCTTAGAAAAACATTATTCAATTCAGGTAATAATACAGTTTTTTTAGTTTCATTAGAAGTATCTCAAATTTATGTTCATGCATAAAGCATAAGCTGCGTTCCCAGCCTCCCAGGCAAAGTGGCGAACAAGAGAAGTAGGCCTATTTGTTGACCTTCACCTACAGGCTTCAAGTTCCTTCTGCCTTCTGGTGTTCACTGTTGTATAATATAAGTAGGTAGGTAGCCTACTTGGGTATGTGCCCCAAATTGTTTTTGAGAATGTATATTAAAAAATTTTCTATGCCAGCTGCCCACTGCTGCCCTGCCCAGTTCTATTGACTATTGTCACCATCACCAAACAACAATGCAGAAACATAGCCTACTGAAAAGTTCTACTTTCTGTACAGTACTTCAAATATAGTTTTCTAATTTATTTTAAATTTTCATTTTCAGATCATCAAGATTCCTATTAGATGAAATTATTGAAATATCTAAAAGCTTTTAAACTTAATGTGAGCAAAGAGATAAAAAACTGAAAGCATGCGTCGCAGCGTCTGACAGTCTGCGGCACAGCGAGTGCAGCCTGCAGGTAGTGCAGGACGTGTGCAGGCTGCAAGATTTGTTAAAGATTGGTATTTTTCCTAATTTCCTATTGTGCAGAACTATGATTTAGTCTAAAATGATTTCACAATATACTCCTAGATCACTTCTATGAGTATATAAATTCTAATTTTGTATGAGATCACTTGAATAATGAATTTGTAATAGGCCTATCATGCACTATTTTCCAAACAATTAGTTTTTTATACAATCATTTATAGTTCCAGGATTGGAATTTTCCTACTTGTTTCTTAAATCTTGCAGCTCTGGCATGACAAATTTTTAATACATTTAGAATCTTGTGGCCCTATTGTGCAACAGTGCACTTTTGTTAACAATTAGACAGGAGCCTAGGAGGTAATTCATCTGGCGGGAATCTCATGATTCTGGAAATGGCAGGAAAGCTCTAGTCACGGCCCTAAAGGGAGATGCTTTCCATGCTTGCATAGTTCATACCTAGTAATGGGAAATTGCAGGTCACAGGTGTATTTGTAAAATTGTGATGTGTCATTTACTCTAATTTGATTGTTAATATTATGTGAAAATCATGGGCATGGAAGGAATCACCCACAAGAACCGGCCTCTTCTTTTTGCTATTTTTTTTCATGGGCCATTCTTATTAATTTTTCTTGTTTCCCGAGTCAGAAAAATAAATTAAGCAGAACATAGGTGTCAGGATTAAATCCCGACACATATAAATTAGGGAAATAGCCTATTTTAAAAAAAAATCTTTAAAATCACTCATTACACAAAACAAGTTCTTTTCAACAAGCATTTGTGGGAAAGAATGTCACCTCATTTTCAGATCATCAAGATTCCTATTAGATGAAATTATTGAAATATCTAAAAGCTTTTAAACTTAATGTGAGCAAAGAGATAAAAAACTGAAAGCATGCGTCGCAGCGTCTGACAGTCTGCGGCACAGCGAGTGCAGCCTGCAGGTAGTGCAGGACGTGTGCAGGCTGCAAGATTTGTTAAAGATTGGTATTTTTCCTAATTTCCTATTGTGCAGAACTATGATTTAGTCTAAAATGATTTCACAATATACTCCTAGATCACTTCTATGAGTATATAAATTCTAATTTTGTATGAGATCACTTGAATAATGAATTTGTAATAGGCCTATCATGCACTATTTTCCAAACAATTAGTTTTTTATACAATCATTTATAGTTCCAGGATTGGAATTTTCCTACTTTTTTCTTAAATCTTGCAGCTCTGGCATGACAAATTTTTAATACATTTAGAATCTTGTGGCCCTATTGTGCAACAGTGCACTTTTGTTAACAATTAGACAGGAGCCTAGGAGGTAATTCATCTGGCGGGAATCTCATGATTCTGGAAATGGCAGGAAAGCTCTAGTCACGGCCCTAAAGGGAGATGCTTTCCATGCTTGCATAGTTCATACCTAGTAATGGGAAATTGCAGGTCACAGGTGTATTTGTAAAATTGTGATGTGTCATTTACTCTAATTTGATTGTTAATATTATGTGAAAATCATGGGCATGGAAGGAATCACCCACAAGAACCGGCCTCTTCGTTTTGCTATTTTTTTTCATGGGCCATTCTTATTAATTTTTCTTGTTTCCCAAGGCAGAAAAATAAATTAAGCAGAACATAGGTGTCAGGATTAAATCCCGACACATATAAATTAGGGAAATAGCCTATTTTAAAAAAAAATCTTTAAAATCACTCATTACACAAAACAAGTTCTTTTCAACAAGCATTTGTGGGAAAGAATGTCACCTTAACATGTTGACTATGATTGCTTCATCTTGTACTATTATCTCATTTTTTGGTACTGTTTTTAAACAGGGTTGCCAGACAGTCATTTTTTCTGGGCAAATTCCATGAAATGGTTTTTCTCAATTGCATTGGCTGGCTAAAATTTATGATAGGGGTACTTCCTAATTAAATTTTAAATACTGCAAAAAGAAAATAAATGGAACCTTTAAAACGGAACTTACAAATAAACTAGTACATGTAGAGTTATCAGCCTTTTTTGTTCTCGGATTTGGCCGATTTTAGGCAACCAGAATTATGTACTACAGTACTACTAAGTCCTGGAGAAATACATTTCGTGGTACGCATATGTACCACTTTGGAGTCAACGTGTTAAGCCCTTGTAATGTAAGCACCAATGAGTTGTGGGCACTTGTATATTGCTTCCAGAAAGATTACCATCTTGGTGACATTTAAGGGCTTTCAGAGTATTTGAGGGCTTGAGGCTCAGGGTTAAGTATTTATGCTCTAAGTGATGCTACCCAATTTATATATGATAATATTTATTATTTATAGATGTAGTTATAATATAAATGTATTGATTTAGTACATATACCATATAGTAGAACAATGGTATATACCTATAGAACAAACTACCAATCCAGTACCAATTAAACATTACAGCCTAGCATGACTTGAGGCATAGACTATTTGAAGGTAGATTGAGACTTGTTTTGCCTGACACAGTGTCTTTACAGATTGTTTTATTATACCTATATATAATGCCAGGTTGCCAGCTACTATGTATGTGTTATGGTTGCTCATTGACATCCATTGAATAATTTTATCAAGGCCCTATGGTTATATTTGATGGCTATAGTACATTATCTAGATTCTAGTCAAGTATATAGATCTCTATTTTTGATGTCTGGTAAACAGCTTCTGTCTTTTGACCATGAATCGGCCTTGATTCTATTAAACCAAGTTAGTTAATTGTGGCCTGTAAAATAACTTCTTCCTATGGAAAAGACATAGGAAGAAGTTGGGTAGGGAATTATCTCTTCTATAATTTTTTTATTCTGATTTTATGATTTTGTTGCAGATGTGCATGGCTGAACACAAGGATTGGAGGAAGTGTCAAGACGTTGTGAAGGAGTTCCAGACTTGTATTGAAGAAGATAAGAAAAGAAGGGAATCAAACAACTAGTGAACTTATATTCCAAATCATCCATTCTTGTGCTAAAAACCTGAATGCCATGTTTTATAGTATCAGTCTTGATCAAAAGAATTTGAAAAAAACTCTTTGGTTTCCTTAGTTTGAGTATAAACACATTTTCTTTTACGTAAAATTCTACATTACATAACTGAAGATGAGTGATGATCCAGCAGTACCTCTATTGGTGCCATCAAACCCCAGTAATGTTTTCAATAACCCTTATAATGTTGGTCTTTTAGGAGGATCAATTGTTGGTGTGTTATCTGGGTATGTGTTTAGCCGACATTTCTACCCTTTAGTGCGAAGAGTATTCAGTGCTGTTTACACAGGACACACAAAACTTGCACTTGTTGTCAATGCAGATCTTCATATGTCCAAAGGTGACTAATCTATTCCAGTACTTGTTATCCTTATCACTTGATACATCTAGTACAAGAAATAAATGTATATGCTGAATAAACAAATTTGTTAGATAATTTTTTCAATAAAATTTATGATTAAGACATTATTAAGATTATATTAAGATTATTAAAATTTTGAAGTGTTAACAGTAATCATCAAGCTAATTTGTTTTCATTATAGTTAAAATTGACTTGGTTATAAAATGTTAAAATGATTGCATTTTTTTCAGGCAAGATTGCCAGCCAATGTAGCCATGCAAGTGTGATGGCTTACAAACGTATGCGTTCACCGCTCCAATCCGTTCGTTATGGAAGCGGGCTACTTACGTCCTGGGATTTGAATGGACAAGCTAAAGTCGTTCTCAGGGCAGAGAATCTTCAAGTGATGAAGAAGCTGGAACAAGTGAGTGACAATATAATGGGATACCCATTCTTTTTGTATCGTTTATTCATTCTTATTTCAATTTAATCCAATTTTGATATCTGAAATGCTACATTTCATGTTCAATGAATGCCATTTTATTAATTGCCTACTTTGATTATCAACCTATTCTTCTATGTTACTACTAATTGCCATATTCTTACTAATATGCCTTTGAATGCTCATTCTTGTTTTTTTGCATGTGTCCTGACAACAACCGAACTGCTCCTGCAATTGATACCTCATTCCAATCATGTGGCGTCTCTTACATGTAGATTTGTTATGCAGATGGCGCGTGAGAAGAACATACCAGTGCACAAGGTGCATGACGCAGGCCGCACGGAGATTCCTGAAGGGAGTTTGACTGTAATGGGTTTAGGGCCTGCACCGATTTTCCTCATTGATCAAGTCACTGGGCACTTACGACTTCTATGAGCTTATATCTGCCTTATGATACATTGAACATGAAGCGAATGTCTTCAAGTAAAGTATTTCTTTGTCAATTGTAACGTATCTTCACTCTGTTTCCCAATGCTGCTTGTCACATAAAAAAATGTAATTAACACTCATCTTTCATGCATACTACCTGGGCCGACAGGGGCTCCGTGCATTCATGACCAGGTTGTAATATTTCTAGCCAATTGCTTGTCCACAACCCTGACGTCTTCAGTCACAGTGTGACATTTGGTAGTTTCTGTAAATACAAGTGTTTTTGTTACCTTCATGTATCTCCCTGTCGTATGTCCAGCATTTATCCTCGTTGCCAGTCCCTGGTCAACGTCAGCACAATCCCAATGAAAATTAAACTTTCAGACGATGCCTGTCGAATGTTTGGTAAGAGATAGTATGATCTTGCAATGGAGGGAAATATGCAAACTAAAGATATTTTATTCTTCCATATGGCACGCAGTTTTTTTCAATAACGGCTAGTGTTACGTTGCTACTGACCCGCACGAAATGATCGGCCCAATTTTCGGGGGTCATCGCGTCCAAATTCATATTATCCTCATACACGAAGGAAAATGTAAAGACGACATTGTTAAAAAATGTACGTAAACAACATTACTTCGCTCAGAGCGTAACGCGTTGAGTTGAGTGCGAGCTAATCTCTCCTAAGCTTGACCTGCTCTTCAGCGACGCCGTCTTTGGTGACGGTGTAGATGATGCACGAGTCGCCGGTCTTGACGTCTCGTTCTGCAGCCGAGATGAATGCGTCATGCATCAACTGGTGCGCCAGAGCCTGAGCATACGATATATGGTTAGGAATTTTTAGCAGCAGCTCATCATCCCCGCTCTACTAATATTGTAATACGCTCGAGCTTCACAAATAAAGCAGCTATTTTTGGTATACGCATGAGCTGCACAAGAAAAAAACCTATATAAGAACCGAAGTTCTTCAGTCGATCAATTTGCAATCGAAATCATTCGGTAACTGCAAAAAAAAAAAAATTATTAAAAGTACCAAGAAGTACCTTTCAGCAGCTGAGTAGCTACTGAACAGCCCCAAGCAAATTATGCATGTATTACGCAGAAGTACTTGAATCAGAAGAGAATTTTTCATTGACGCGTTTAGATTATACTATAGATTTAACCAATGAGTTGAGTAACATAAATATTACGTCTAATTCATTAGTGGTAGCTCAATATGGCAGTACAATGTGTCCATGTTGAGAAAACCATACCTCAACGACATGAACATTTCAGTGCCAACGATGTCATTTGCTAATTACTAAAATTTAATTTCTTGAGAGCATCGTTAATAGGGTTTAACTAAACTATCATAATAGAAACCAATACATTCACAATAATGCACTTTTCAAATTAAAATGCAAGACGGTTGACATTTTTACAATTGAAAAAAAAAATAGATGGGATCAAACTGTACACTTATTGTGGTTAACATACATAGCCATTGACAAATAGCAGCTACCAAAGCACGGAAACTCAGGGCTAAGGTGACAGTTTACTAGTGCTTGACTTGTTTGGCTTAGAAGATAAATACATACGATAACCTCTATTCAATGAAAGTAATTGGGTCAAGATATAAGAACAAGATTTGCCCAGAAGTTAAGAATACGATAAAAACGACTGATGGCAAGGAGACCGCCGGTCACCTCTGAACGTTTCTGATGCTGGACTAGAACCATGAACAAACACGTTTGTTCATATCATCAGGAAACTTGCCTTAGTAACCTTAGGAGGCACGGCGTCTTTCATGTTGAGGGCACCGAGTTGATTATCAAGCAGAGGTTGTATCTGTGCTACTGATGCTCCAGCTGAACTGAAACGAAGCTTTTCCATGTGGCCCACAGGGTCGTAGTGATACACCACACCTGATCCTGTAATACAACCACTCTTGTTAGTTACTCAGTACCACTAATTTATACGTAAGCTGACTAATAGTAAAATTGTGTTCTACTTACACTCGCTAGTGTTATGCAACCACTCAATCTGTGTCATTCAACGCCGCTAATTCGCACATGAGGTGACACTCCAATTATAAAAAATTTTGTGCTAATGTACCAGAGAAATCTTAGTTACCTCAAGTTAATTAAGTCGACAAGGAAAAACATTAAATACTCTCGGAGTACCTTATTTAACATCCTTATAATTTAATACTTGTATCCTCATATTGAAAATAATATACCTATATTAAATATTTTATCCACGTATAAATAATGATGCATTTGATGCACGAGTCTAAATTTCTCTGCTGTAACAGATTCACCACAAAATCTCGTGTCATATAAACAATAAAATTTCTAGTCAGCAAAATCAATGGAATGGGATCATTGATGACTCACGGATTTCAAAAGAACATAACAAATAAATCTCTTTGTTAGACATGAATCTATTTGCTGACTTACGAAACGGTTGAAAATTTTGATAATATACTGATTAAAGTCATAATGTACCCAACTTTACATGTGAAGAGAAGATGATCTATACTAAGATAACTTATTCTGAAAACTTTTACGCTCTTAATAGTTGACCTTCTTCATCAAGTCCAATGACCGAGCTTTTCTAGCTAAGGAAATATATGTAGACTACCGGTATATTAAGGGGATTAATACGCTCTTGATAGTTTACCTACTACCATCTTCATCAAGCCCAATGACAACTTTTCACACAAAGGAAATATGGACTATAGTAAAATGATTACTTGTTACAACTTATATGCTCTGGATAGTTTACATTCTCCATCAAGCCCAATGACCCTGTCAGGGAATCCGATAATATATATTGGTAAAATCTGAACGCACCCAACTTTATATGTACGAGGGAAATATGGACTAAATGAAGACAATTACATGTGACAATAATACACTCAAAAATTTACCATCTTCATCAAGCCCGATAACCATGTTGGAGACGTAGTATGGGAAGAACCTGCGCCAGTAGAGCACTGTGGATACCAGCTGAGCAATGGCGGGAGTGGACATCTCGTCATGGTGTTCTTGGGAATACAGCTGGGGACAAGCAGAAATCATATCAGGCAGAGAGTTATCATTTATTCCGCTTTTCATTTGTTGTATTCCATTTTATCAGCAGATATATCAACAAAATGGTTCCACAAACAAACAAATAGCATATTTAGATCAATAATTTGTTTGAAGACAGTATTATTGCGGAGAAATTAAATTTTGATATGATTCCTATCATAAAAATGTAAATAATAGAATCAGTTTAAATGAACATGATATTAAAAAAGATTTTTACAATTTTATTTAAATGCAAAAAAGGTAATTAACTTCAATCTTGATTTACCACAAACCTGAAGAAATTATAATCAGAGCCAAGTTTTGTGAAACAAATTTCAATTGGTACGGGTAATAATTTTGGGATGAGATCTTGTGGATGAATTAAGAATCCTCAGTTATGCTTGTTCAGGAGCCTGGATTTGTGTTTGCCATTTGTAACTTGTGTGATGTCAGCCCGTATTAGTGACCTTGGTTAACCGGTTCTTGTGTTTTAGTGATTAGGACTTGCAATTTGCTAGTTGCAACAAGGACTGAGGGCCTGGTGATTTCATGAGATTTCTTCTGTGTTCTTATAGAGCAAGCTCCACCTGCTAGTGTGACTTGCTGCTTCCATACCATCATAACACTACTAACCCCCATCTCATTCTGCACTAACTGCAGATGTCAGCATTTTGTTGGTTGTATGCTGGCTTCAGTGTTTCATAATATATTTCCCTAAGCTGTGCCCAGGTGGTTTCAGTAGCCTTACATGCCAGTCTTGTCCACAGCTGTACCATCTACCTCTTTAATATAAATATTAAACTTGCCAGGGCCGAACGCCTCCCCTTACACTATAATTGCTCACCGTTAACTTGGCTTGAAGATCCTTGTAAAGGGAGAGAACATCTGCCCAGCAGCCAGTTGAGGCAATCATTGTCTTCTCGGTGAGGGGGAAAACTTTTGTCTGGTTTCGGCTGAGAATGCCACTATAATTTGTCAGCCTGGTGTCACTGCCAACCATGACAAAGTCATCACCAGCAATAGCAATGGTGGTTCTGCACAATAAAAAAAGTTTTACAACTAATCACATTTATTTTATTAAGCATGAATATAAATCATGAAATAAAATTTTTTGATAGATTTCAAGAGAAAATCTACTTGATTTGTTTGAAGCAAATTTGCACCACTAGATGCAGAGCATGCAAATAGTATCTAAGTTTTCATCAAAATTTCAAGAACAATCACGATTCAGAACAATCATAAGCAAACAAAAGTAAGGAGCTTAAACTGTAGGTATGTAATAATGTCATCAATGAGAAGCAATGAATGAGATTTTGTTGAATGTTGCCACCAAAGATCTGTATACTTGGCTGTTTATTCAAAATTTTCTTCCCCTTTTTTTTCTAATATCAATAAGTATTTAATAGAGCAGTGTAGGAGGACTAGGAGCATGGCTATTAGTAATAGTGTAGGTCTGTAGGAGCATGGCTATTCAAAATATTTCAGCAATGGTTGACAGACTGTGCCTATCCAAGATCTACAATACCGCAGTTTGCAATCCCGGTATTTGCAATGAATTGAACTTTTTGCTTGATCTGACTTCAAAAGATTGTTGATATATTTAGTCAGTCATCATGGATTTAAAACTGATTTACACTAATTTGAAGAGCAACAGACAGTATTCATGGCATATATACTAGCTACAATAATGCATTGAACACAAAACTTCAGAACCCACAAACTCCAAAACTGCACCCAATAAAATCTCACACTGATAGTGTTTGTTACTGTAGTAAGGCTTGAGCTGATTGATATTTATATCAGGAGCATCAACAAGGGTTTCAAGAATAATTATTACACTTGTGCCTTTAAGCAGAAATTTACTAATGCCAATAGTAAACAGTAGGGAAAAACTATGAATATAATAAATATTGGATAGAATTTTCCTAAAAATTACAGGTAAAAACTATTATTTCATGAGCAATTCTAGAAAATTACAGCTAAAAATTAGCCATTTTACTTATATTTTATAGCAGAAAATATAAAAAGGCAATAGAAACAGGTAAAACTTGACAGATTCTTGGGCAATTGCACTGGGACCAATTCACAGGTGTCTTTTGCCCAATTTTCTAGTGAAGCCCAAAATTCCAATTCAAAATAGCCTAACTGGAAAATTGGGCCAAAGCCACAGGTGGCTTTGTGTCCAATCTTTGTGTCCAATTGGACACATAGTATGTGAATCTGGCTAATCCTACCTGTTTCTCTGTTTTTTTTTCTCAATTTCTTTGGTAAAACATGAGAAAAAGTCAATTTTAAATGGTGGTTTTCAGGAGTAACCAGTAAAATGATAGTTTTAATAGACTAGATTTTAGCAAACTTCTGCCTGATATTACAAATTGGGGTATTACTTTAGATTAAGTGCATCCAAAAAAATGGTGTTTTTTTCTTTTAATTATATGTTTTTTGGGGGTGTAGATAAATCAGTCTGACCGCTTTGACATGACCGCAACTATGCGCGATCTTCAACAAACGTTTTGTTTATTTGTTTACATTAGGATGTTCATGTTTTTTTCTGCAAGATATTTTTGGCGGAAACGGTAAAGCAATGCGGATTGCGGAAGTTGAAAATTTTATGAAATGACATGTTTGCGAAGTGCAAACCGCCATTTTTTAATCAAACAAAAATTTATGACATTCGAGCCGCGAGATTTCATACCTACTGAAATTATATGATATTAGAGCCGCGAGATTTCATACCTACTGAAATTATATGATATTAGAGCCGCGATATTTCAGACAAAAATAGGACTTTTCCAGACTAGACTTACGTAGCGCATACGTTTTTTTTATAGTTTTTCATTTCTTGATGCGTCCTTAATGTGTCGGAATATACCGCGTTTACGGTTTACCCTCCCAAAAAACATATAATTAAAAAAAACACTCTTTTTTTGGATGCACTTACTCTGAAGTTTTACCCAAATTGGCCCCTTAGCCATTATCATTATGAGCTAGTGTCTGTGTTAGTACCAGTCTGTACTCTGTAAGCAGAAAAATCAATTTATTCAAGAAATTGAGACTATGTTGAAGAAATGCAAGATTCCAATGCATGAAATGTAAGATTCCAAGATATCTTTCAGAAACCTATTATAAAAGATTAAACACTAAAATAGCAGAAAAAAATATTGCTAATTGAATAGGTACATTACATAGGTTATAGGTACTATGGTTGGTTCTCAATTCAATTAGGTAGAATGAATTAATTCTAAGATTGGAAAAGCAAACATTTTACTGAAAAATATTGCAGCTCAAAACCAAAAGCAATACATTTAGAGAGAGTTTAAAATATAGGTACTGGTTCAATTTGGCCCTTTTATCAATAATTAGGTAGGCCTTATGTAGAAAATAATCCAACAAGAAATAATCTTGTGGCTCCAAAAATGGTAAAAAAAGCTCTAGCTATACTATAGCCTCAAAGATAAAAAAATAGATATTTTTCATTCATGTTCAAATCTTGACTCATGCCTTAATCTTAGGCTATGCCAAGCCTTCATCGTGAAGTAATCAAAGTTTCAAACTTCAAAGCTAATAGGCTACCTAAACTTTTTCTCAACACACACCTGACACCTTCAACTTCGAGACCTTCAGCAAGCATAGGCCTATATCAAAGCCAAAACATACCCTCCATTGTCAGCGTAAGGGCTGAAATGATGCTTCCGAGGATCACGGCCGTATTCGCTCATTGCTAACATTTCAGCCGACATTTTGATGCGCGAAGATAAAAACGCTAATACAGTTTCGTACTGCCGCCTGCCAAAAGCGAAAGATGACAAGCGGAATGAGAGTTCGGAGACGGAGTGTAGAGGATGAATCCTACTTTTCCGTTTACTGAATGCTGAAAAATTATATGTTAAGGGCGGAAAAACTTTATGCATGGTGCTGTTTCATAATTGATTTAAACCAATTTAATGAATTTTTGATGAAAATTGTGTATTATATTTCTGAGTTTTTTGGGCCGCGGATGTTAGTATTTTTTTAAATAGGCATTTAAATTGTTGATCTGTCCTAATTCTTCTATAGAGATTTCACTTTTTATTTTTGACAGATAATTTTAGGTTTAGGCAGTAAAACAACGACATGTTGAATTTTAAGTTTACCGACTACTGTTGAAGCGACAAGGCTGATTTTTGATAAGATAAGCCAAATAATTAAGCAAATAGTATATTAAATTTGTCCGAGACGTGAACCGGCACTTCTCTGCTCCATTCCCTGTAATCTGAACTGTCCATCCCGATTGACGGTATTATATATTGCAATATTATAAAGCTATGTGATGATATTTTTAGAAAAATAGACTATGAAAATCAGAAGGAAGTTTTTATCCCGGAATTTGAACTTCATAGAAATCGCATCTGCATCTAACACGAGGTGTCTAGTTTCAGTTGCTATCACTCATTGCATTGATGATGCACATAAATCTTCTACAGTAGAATCAGTCAATTAACCGGCATGCAACGTAAATAATGCGTTGAAAACGTCACGTCAGGTCACGTGTGAATCTTTTCGACGTCAAATCTATATATTGTTTGTTATCGTTCCGAATACATCCTATAAATGCTTTGAGAAGAAAAAACAAATAAAAGTTATGGACTAGGTCTATTATACAGATAGCCAAGGGTTTACATGCTTGAGACAACTTAATTAATTTATGTAACAAGCCATTGAAATTATTTAGGAATGAAGGGAACAGTGCATAATAAAACATCCGCTAAATTACTCAGCATTGTACACTTACGTTATATTGAAGTAGCGTATGCAAATTTACTTCAATTCCATAGAGAGAATGCAGCGTCCACGCAAATCCTGTATCACTCAGAACAATGAATGAGTCTTAGTGTCCAAATATTGACACACTTTCTCACCAGCAGCACGAGCATCGAGCAAACGTAGCACCTATACGCCCCTACGAAGGACAAACTGGCTTAGGATGAAACAGACAAGGGACAGTTGTGCATTGGTATTTGGACAATGGCCCTTTCTTTTATCTGAATTTATCATGCGTTTGAGCGAGGCCTGAGTGGACGGTAGGACTGAGGCCACAAGATTGGCGGAGGCAGAGTCCTCACAAAGCCTTACAGAATGGCCTCAGCATCACAGAATGGCCTCAGCATCACAGAATGGCCTCAGCCTCACAGAATGACCTCGGCATCACAGAATGGCCTCAGCCTCACAGAATGGCCTCAGCCTCACAGAATGGCCTCAGCCTCACAGAATGGCCTCAGCCTCACAGAATGGCCTCAGCCTCACAGAATGACCTCAGCCTCACAGAATAGCCTCAGCCTCACAGAATGGCCTCAGCCTCACAGAATGACCTCAGCATCACAGAATGGCCTCATTTGAGGCACAAATACGCGGGGCATGACCTCTTTGGTCGGGCCAAGATATTGAGGCGTGTATGAGCCTCAATAGGGCTTACGGCGATTGAAACATGTTCACAAAGTTGAAAAATTTGAGATGTTTTATTATAGCCTCATAAAGTTACTTAAGTATTTAATTTTAAGTAACTAGCATTTACACTTAATGACGAGAGCGTTATTCTTGAGCGTTGTTCTATATTCTTGAGCGTTATTAGTAAATAATTTGTTGACAATTATTAATCATCTATGCCATCGAATTGAAAAGTATTTATTATTAAGAAAATTATTATTATTAGAAATTATTTCATGGGGATTTAAATTGTCGTTAATTATTATACGCTTTGCAACTATCTCTGCTGCAACGCATGTTCGATACCCTCGGGAAGCTGTGAAAATTCGGCGACGTTCAGAATTGGCCAGAGTTGCAGAATCGGCCTGATGCTTAATTAACGCTGACGTCGCTACACTTCTATGCCGTACTATACAAGCAAAACTTGTATGTAGTTACATTACTGTACACATGATGAATATTTTAGTATTATTGGGAGTATTCTAACGATGAAGAGGTATAAAATACGAGCTACCAAATTCTTTGTGTACTCATAACGCTGTAGACGATAAATTGTTATTTTAATATCGCCCAGCATTTCCAATTCTCCATGTTTTGAAGTAACAGTTGTGTCTATGAATTTGTCCTTGAATGAATTTGTAAAATATTTTAAATAATTTTTTAAATCGAAATTTTTTGCTCCTTAAAATTTTAAATTATTTATGTAAATACAAATTTTTTGTCCTAATGTAGTTATTTCCTTGACGACTTCAAGCCGTTCTAAACTTCCTCTTAGCACCACGGCGACTAAAAGTTTTGGATTCAAGCAACATTATGATGAGCGAGAACTGCTCGCATGTTGCTGGCGTGAAGAGCTTCTTTAGAAGCGCCAGCAAACTGTGCGAGCGAGGAAAAACAAACGCACTGCTACTCAATGTTGACATTTTGTAAACGAATATTTTTGTGTGTGTAGAGTTGTGTGTTATGTTTCAGCTTTATTTAGTTTTGGAAAGCTGAATTCTGAAATGATTACCGCGCAATTTGAGATGTAGATAAAGAAAATGTAACTATGTTTTTTTTTTCACTACCACTACGCAAAATTTAAATCTACCGTAACCTATTTCTCACAACCGTAATATCTAAGGTCCGTAAGCAATATTCTGCCATACAGTACCAGTGTAAACTTGTTTTGTATAAATTTCACCCAAGTTTCCAGCTTTATAAATTGATTTCTTGATCGTCTAAAGGATAAATGTCCTGAAGCCATGACTAATGTTCTAACTTATCTTAGTTCTTTTTGAACCTAATAACTCCAAGCCGCGGCACGGCGCTACAATGGACTCGCTTCTATTGATAATGTAGCAGACGCTCAAAAAATTAAAGGTTCATATTGTCCAAATATTGCCATACATTCTTACCAGCAGCACGAGCAGTGAGCGGACGTAGCACAACGCCCTTTTCCTGGTATAAAATAGATCCTGATGACCCGAAAAGGTGAAAATTACGTCACTAATTTGACAAAGTCTCACTCATTTCTCTGAGTGGAATATTTGAGAAATGTATGCAGAAGGAATAGATATATGTTAAAGATTTGCTACGGTAATGCGGCGCTCTATAATGTTTGTTAAGGAAGTTTTCGCAAGAATTTCATATTGATAAGGTTTGAGTACCTCAGCCTGACTTAGTTTGCTTGTAACTTAAGTGATCTAAAGATGAAAATGACATGAAGATGAAGAACTAATTTTATTAGTTGTCACTAACTAAAGTTGAAACAGAAATTGCAAGCGACACAGGGCGATATTTCCAGTGATTTTGTTGGTTCCTTGTGGGTTCTAATTGAAGCCTCAGTCCTTTGTGATCGCGGTCCCTCCGTAATATTTATTCAGTTCTTTCCTAAAGAAGATGTAATCAGGATTTTCAGAACATTTCAGCGATTTAATTTAGTTTACCTCTCATTTACCATTAATTTATTGCATGGATTTCAAGAAATAATTTCTACACATTATTTGCTGATTTTTGAATTTATTTAAAATCATTTACATACAGTTTCTGCCCTTCTAAGCGTTGTCTCGAATAAAATTTACTTATAAAAAAATGATATTTCACAAAATTGAAGGGTGCCGAATTAAAAAAAAAAACAAAATAAAACTTCGGAAATTGATTTTCCAGAGCAGAAATAACACGATTTTTTATTCATCTAAGATATAACAGTTCCCGAGCTGGAATATCCTGGAGAAGAACTCTACAGTAGACTCGATCCGGACACACAAACGATGAGCGGAAGAACGGAGCCGTAAAAGACTTCCCTGTCACATGCAGAATATAAGCGGCAACTGGTTGACAGCGAGTCTCGGCCGAAGTGGCCGGCATCTGTTAGTCGGGTTGCCAGACAGCTTGGTTGCCAGAGAGTCAAGTCGACAGACAGTTAAGTCGCCAGACAGTCGGATAGCCAGGCAGTCAGGTCGACAGACAGTTAAGTCGCCAGACAGTCAGATTGCCCATCAGACAGTCAGACTGTCAGGTTGCCAGCCTATCAGGTTGCCAGCTGGTCAAGTTGCCATATAGCCAGACTTTGTAATTATAATCCCTGATCGCCGTAGGACGCTGAGTTGACTTTTATGATTGCCTGGCGGACTGACAGGGAAATATCGTCGTCTGTTCTGCCGGAATTGGATGACATTCATAGAGCTTCTGAAGGATGGCGTAATGACGGCGTAGAGTTTTTAGCAGAATGAATTTGGTGCAGAAAGCTGATGTATTTACACGCAAGATGTCAGTATTTCCATGACAGAGTTCATGTTCGAACTAAGACAGGCTTGTGATACTTTGTAAAATATTTGGGCAGTTGTAAATGTTATGCTTACTAAAATAATAGAATAAGAATAAATCTCACGAGTAGCTTTCATATTTTCTAAGCAGATACAAAATTTTTGCAAAACGACATCACAAGATTTTTTTAATTCAGATTTTTTCAACAGTCAACGAGAACGTTCAAACTTCACAGGCAATAATAACAATTATATAATCTAAACATAATTTCTCTTGAATAAGAAATACAGACAAGTATTCAAGATACGAGATCCGTAGCCCAGTCATTGATCGCTTTTTAGAAGAAAGGCACTAAATACCTGATTGATTTCAGTATACAAACTTCCTGATTTATTTTCTCTTTTATTATATTATAATACAAGTTAGCCCGAGCATTACCAGTAGAAACGATCATAAAAGCAATACAACAATCAATAACATAAAAAAGTTTTTCTAAAACGTTAGTAAGAGCTGTCATGTTAAAGTTTCAGTCTAGCCTCAATAGGTTTCAACTCACCAGCAAGCTAAAGGCGTTAAAATTTCAGTCTAGCCTCAATAAGTTTCAACTCATCAGTAAGCTAAAGGCGTTAAAGTTTCAGTCTATCCTCAGTAAGTTTCAACTCGCCAGCAAACTAAAGGCGCTAAAGTTTCAGTCTAGCCTCAATAAGTTTCAACTCATCAGTAAGCTAAAGGCGTTAAAGTTTCAGTCTAGCCTCAATAAGTTGCAGCTCACCAGCAAGCTAAAGGCGCTAAAGTTTCAGTCTAGCCTCAATAAGTTTCAACTCACCAGCAAGCTAAAGGCTTAAAATTTCAGTCTAGCCTCAATAAGTTTCAACTCACCAGCAAGCTATGCAAGTTGTCTTGAATCCATTAATCTTGCAAATTCGAAGAGGAAAATTAATAATAAAATAGTGTATAAATAACCAGAGCCTTTTAATGAATCATAAACTCAATAAAAGTTTATTGATAAATTGGAAAAGCATCATTTTAGCAACCTGATCATACATATAATTATAATTATATCATTAAAGAATAATTATGCCATTAAAGGTAACCATGTTACGTACCGTTGTCTGTGTAAAATTCTTTTCTGTTTCTAAATCGTACGAGTTTATTTCGTTGCCGCATTCACTTAAGTAACAAATAGACACAATTTTCAGTATTATGTAAATGCGTATCAGTTGAAAACTGAATAGGATGCTATTTGTTGGAATTTCAAGTACGTAGCGAAGTTTCGGTTTCGTTCGTTGGCCAAAGAAAATTCTTTTGTATTCGAGCGTCAAGTTCGCGTGGCCACAATTTCTCATAACTTTCCGTGTGAAAATTTACGAGCACATTACCTTTCACAATCTATTCAATCTTTGCCAGCATTTCGTGCGCGTATCGGAATAACAAAGCTCGGTTGCAGCAAATGGATATCTAAGTCGCAGGCTTACGAAGCGATTACGACCTCATTTTACCATTGCCATTGGAAAACGATCCTGCCACGATAGAGCCCTGCGATGTGGTCACGATCTATCGCCTCTAACTGTTATCATTTATAGGATAAATTGTACCAGCAGGATATTAAAGATAGGATATTTGTAGGAACAGTGGCAGCCCGCGGCAGAAAAGAGACCGATGATTTGTTGTTGCCTTGAGTCTTCGCGTTGTCGATGCCACATTTGGGACAGAGACAATCTATAGATAAACTGGGCGAAATCGACCAGGGACAGCCGCGACACAGACGTATCATTGCTACGCAGGAAGGGGGAAATGATCAAGAACGTTTTGAGGGCGTAAAATTTTTTTGGTAAATGTAATATAATTTTGTGTTATTGCTTATTGGAGGAAGGGCTGATGTACAGAAATTGTGTACATTAATTATAGTTTTTAAAATCACTGAAATTTTCTAACCAGTTTGAATCACTATTAGTATTTAATAAGGTGAATGAGAAAGAGTACAGTAATAAAGATATTACGTCACTTTAAAGGAGACATTTATTATCCACATTCATTTGATCGTCTTATTCAAAAAAGTCGAACTGAAAAAATTTGAAAGTAATAACTGAAATATAACAACCAGTTCTCCGACGGTTTATACTAGAGAGGGATAGGTACCTAGAATCCATGTAAATCTAGCTTACTGAGATCCATAGCCAGACCCGGAGATTAAAGCAACATGTAGTTTTTGATTGAGGACTTGTTTGTATGCCAGAATTGCGGGGAACAAGATCTTTCTGATATTGGATGACTCATTCTTAATTAACAGCGTTCGTGTGGAAGCTGATGAATTCTTTGGAACTTGCGCAAATTAGAACTTGAATGTCAAAACGTTAACGTGTTATCTGTGTATATAAAGTGAGCCGATTAAGCATGCTTTGCGATAGTTGGAAGCAGTTAAACCTATTTCTAACATATTGTTTGAAATTTCACATGGCATAAGATCTTCGATATTTTTATTTAAATTTCTTGCTGGGGGTTCATCCAACTCACGGAAAGATCGTAGACTTTCTGTACATCATGTAATGGAGCTCTAAAAATTTTCGGATGTAAACTCCTGTTGCGCAACCCATGAAAGATAAGCAGTATTTCATAAAAAGGCAGTAAGATCACGAGGGATACAATAACACATTTTATATCAAAGCCAGAATAAACACCGCACAAACGCCAGATATGAAACTAACTTTAGAAGCACTGATATTATAACAGTACAATAAAAACTTATTAGCAAAGAAAACTCCATGAAGAAAAATTCATACTATCTTTATAGAAAACGTTTCGGCGTACAGCTCCGAAACGTTTTATATAAAGATAGTACGAATTTTTGTGGATTTTTTTTTGCTTCTAAGTTTTTAGTGAATTTGCGATCCAAGCAAAACGAGTGACATTATTACTTATAACTGTACAAATACCAAAAAGAGTAAATCCATCATTGAAAGTGAAATAACCTAAATTCCCTGAAGAAACATAAGAGATTCACAGGCAGCAGTGGATAAATGAGCCATCTTCCTGGTATTAAAAATGGAATAAGTTGAAGTATAATGCGATCCTCATTCTGATGATGGATGCGCAAGCCGCCACTAGCCATCGAGGAGGAACTGGCTTCAGAAGAACTGTCCAGGCCACCTTGTTGGATGGCAGCCTCTCGATCTCCTGCACAATCGCAAAGCTGAACTCTAGTTAATTATGTATATGAACTATTCTTATTATTAAAGGCCGTTAGATTTCAATAAATGATCATATTGTTTAATATTTTACTTTAAGTGGAGGAAAAGGTTATGGTTAAGTTATTATGATGGGGTTAAGGAGTTCCATTGAAACTGCCGGAATATGTGGTAGCTAATATAAAAAAATTAATTCATTTGCGGTTGAGCTGTGTTACAAGGCGGACGTGCGTGCTGCGCGGGATCATAACTGGCCTTTTCGCTATGCCGATGTACTCTATTTACGCTTTTTGTAATGAAGCGTTTCAGTAAAAAAAGCATGTCTGCGCAACATAATTTATGGCACTGATACGCAACATTTCTCACCAATACATATCTATGCAACATTTTAGGTAATTTTCACTCAACATTTCACGTACCTTTCTGTACGTGTACGAGTACAGAGGCGGGGTGGGAGCCCTGAGGTACGCAGGAGTACATGCCGGTAGATTGGAGACACTGGATTCTTTGGAAGTGTTGTCTTTAAAAAGTAATTTTTAAACGCATATTATTAGTGAATTTGCGATCCAAGCAAAACGAGGGACGTTATTACTTATAACTGTACAAATATCACGAGGATTGATTGACTCATGATTGAAAGTGAAATAACCGAATGTCCTTGAAGATACATAAGAGGTTCATAGGCAGCATTGGATATGTGAGCCATCTTCCTGGTATTAAAAATTGAATAAGTTGAAGCAAAATGCGTTCCTCATTCTGATGATGGATGCGCAAGCCGCCACTAGCCATCGAGGAGGAACTGGCTTCAGAAGAACTGTCCAGGCCACCTTGTTGAATGGCAGCTTCTCGATCTCCTGCACAATTGCAAAGGTTGAACTCTAATTAATTATGTATATGAACTATTCTAAATATTAAAGGCCGCTTCATTTCAATGAATGTCATATCGTTCAATATTTGACCTTACGTAGAGAGAAAGGTTATGGTTACGTTTTGAAGATGGGCCGTTAAGAAATTCAATTGAAACTGCCGAAATATCTGATCGCTAATATTAAAAAAAATTAATTCATTGGCGGTTGAGCTGTGTTACAAGGCGGACGTGCGTGCTGCGCGGGCTCACATTGCAACTGGTCTTTTCACTGTGCCAATGTACTCTATTACATCAGCACAGCATTTTGTGTCTTTTTTTGTAGCACACAACATTTTATAGCTTGTTTTTGTCTGCATATTGCGCATTTTGTACTGAACCGTTTCAGTAAAAAGAGCAGGTCTACGCAACATAATTTATGGCATTGATATGCAGAGGTGTGCAGTAGCGCGCTACATGTAGCAGCCTCTACTAGCGGCCCATACATTTTCAGTAGTGGTAGTGGTAGCGGCGCTACATTTAAGCAATTGTAGAGGTAGCGGAAGCGCCCGATACATTTAGAGCATGTAGCGGTAGCGGTCGCTACATTTCAAAGTAGCACTGCCCAGCTCTGTTGATATGCAACATTTATCGCAAAAACATATCTACGCAACATTTCAGGTAATTTTCACTCAACATTTCACGTACCTTTCTGTACGTGTACGAGTACAGAGGCGGGGTGGGAGCCCTGAGGTACGCAGGAGTACATGCCGGAGTCCCCGGGACCGACGGACCAAACCCGCAGCGTGGCGTCGGTTTGGCCTTTAGCCTCGTCGCCCTCCACGTTCAAGAAATACAAATAAATGTGTGTAAGGAACAAAATACAATCAATAAGACATAAGACTTTACAAAATAAATGTTAGTCTCGTAAATAAATAAAGGCAAATTAAATTAATGAGGCACACTGTTAGTATAAACGGTGAAAAAACGGTCCCACTGGCATTCTAGTGGCCGGTCGCCCCGTGAAAATTTCGCCGTTTATATGAGATGTTTCACGGATTTCTAGTGTTAAATTAGAATAAAAACGGTGACATGATGTTTCTTTTCACGTGCCGACCGGCCACTGAAACGCCGGTAGTACCGTTAACGGTAATTTTTCTAACAGTGCATAAGGTAAAATAAAAAAATCCTGACATGAATTATTATAAATACTTTCGAGTTAAGAAGTTATTCAAGTCATAAATGAGTAGAATGGATTAATGCGTTCAATGAACGTTGAGTAAGAAGACTGTTTACAATGAAGATCCTCAGATATTATACCTTCAGTTCAACTCCACCTCGGGGAGAGTTGTAGTCAAGCAAGGTGTTGCCGTGATACCAGTACACCACAGAGGGCAGCGCCCCGGTGTGCCAGACGGTGCAGCGCAGAGTGAGGGAAGAACCCTCTTCGATGTGTAGTTCCCTTGGCCCATGTATCAGCACTGTCAGTCTGCCTGTCATAACAATCATATATTAAAAATTTAATGAAATTTGCGATGTTATAATAGCGATTGGCAATTTTCTAAAAATAACTGCCTTTAAAATTTTCATGTTGTGATATAATTTAGTAGCGATAATCTCAGAATGATGATGGTCTAGAAGTGATGTCCTCTGTTGCAAGAGCGTGTTTTGGACTAGACACGAGAGAGCATTCTTAAAGTTTTAAAAAATGCCACCTTTGCCTCTTGAAATATTCATAGAAAAGGGAAGAAGCGCAAATTCAACTTTAAAATTAATATAACACAAAAGTCAGTATCCAAAAGCTGGCATTGGTCTTTAAGCAACTGAAGGCTGAAACAACTGATAGTTGAAGCAACTGAAGGCTGAAACAACTGATAGTTGAAGCAACTGAAGACTGAAAGAATTGAAGGCTGAAACAACTGTGAGTTGAAGCAACTGAAGGCTGAAACAACTGATAGTTGAAACAACTGATAGTTGAAACAACTGAAGACTGAAAGAACTGAAGGCTGAAACAACTGAGAGTTGAAGCAACAGAAGGCTGAAACAACTGGTAGTTGAAGCAACTCAAGGCTGAAACAATTGATAGTTGAAACAACTGAAGACTGAAAGAACTGAAGGCTGAAACAACTGAGAGTTGAAGCTACTGAAGGCTGAAACAACTGATAGTTGAAACAGCTGAAGACTGAAAGAACTGAAGGCAGAAACAACTGAGAGTTGAAGCAACTGAAGGCTGAAACAACTGACAGTTGAAGCAACTGAATCTTAGAACAGTCTTGACCCAGAACTACCAGCACAGCGTCTGTGTTATTCCCGTGGTGTTGGCTCCACGTAAGCGTCTCGGTTCCTTGACTTAGAATCAATGGGATATTCCTTAATCCTTTTCTCTCACCGTCTGTCGTGGACGCTGTGTTGTTGGCAACAAAGACTTTTCCTTTGGCAAGAGGGTAGCTTGGGTTCTCCTTCGCTGCAATGAATAGAAAAATATTTTATAATATTTGTGTTTAGAGAGCGAGAAAGCTTTGCGCAAAGCTAAGCCAAAAAGCCCTGGTAGCTTCCATGCATTACTATTTTTGAACATTGGAAAGGAAACAACCGCTTTGTTGCACTCTATAAAACACATAGATTTCAAATTCACTAAAGAAAAAAAAACAGAATGTATTTATGCTCTTTGCGTGATTGACGTGAATCCTACGCTCTTTATGTGAATCATACAGAATCTTACAGCAAATTCAGATGCTTGAAATGGGTGCGCATGTTGGGATTTAGCAGCGGCATTGTGGCAACATTTACGGTAAGATTTGGTTACGACATTCATATACATTAACACATCACACATTCGTGTCAGTTGAAGCAATTTCTGATATACGTATCTGTATGATGGTGATTATTATCAACCTATTTCGGATTGAAAAGCTAAAATTGTACCTAATTCTAACCTGAGCGAGGCCCAATTTCCGGGTTGATATGATTAAACCTCAGCTCTATTTCAACAAAATATCAGGGCTTCAACAAAATATTAACAACTATTATCAAAACCAAAACTAACAAAGTCGAACATCCGAAAACCGTGAAATTTATAATCTCACAATCAAAATTATTATTGATACTCTTCGATACTCTTCGATTCAAGAGTATCTTGGCTCAAGCTTCCATTAAAAAAACCTATGATATTTTGGTGCTAGAGTTAACAGGTTGAGATCAAATGCACGTATCAAGTTCAAATCTGATGAGTTCGTTTCAACTTCACTTGAGCTAGCACAAAACTTCCCATCAAAGCAGTAATAATTCCTAGGCTTCAGGCTGCAGAGCCAGCAAGTTTAAAATATCGTTAGGCAAGTGACGGCCGCAGATGTGAAGTGGAGCTTGAGTGTGTAAATGCAGAGACGTCCTCCGTCGTGTTTGCGTTCACGTCATTTTTGGAACGTTTTGGAGAACGTTCGAGGCGGAAGAATTTTATGTAAGTAATAGATTGGATAAGCGATATAATACTTGATAATACTCAAACTAAAAAATAATTAAATCAATAGCTTGTCAGGTTGAAGGGAAATGACATAGCTGTATTTCATATTGGGGATTCTCGGTTTAAAAAATGTCAAAAAATTTTGAAATGGAGGAGTATTTAATTTTTTTCCCAATGAGAATAAATTTGCCACTTAATGTGCCGTACGAGTTCCGCTCTTTGTAAAAATAACTACTGGTTGAAGCGGAAGCCAACTTAACCGGAAAAAGCAAAACCACAGTATGATGTTAGATGACAATGCTATCTTTCGAGAATGTTATGAAAGCTCCCTGATATGTGAAGTCTACGGACATGAACCCCACATTTAAGTTACTTCCGAGAAAACGAAGCTACATATCTTATTCATTTAATTTCTACAGCAAATAAATGATAAGAAAAAGACACAACAAATTTATTGCATTGTCAATAAATGTTCACTATTCACGAAATCTTTCACTGCAAAGAACCTGGTTCGCTTCATAATGAAAACAGCCGAGACAAAGCCTCTTCCGTTGAGCCGCTCGGTCGGAACAAAGCTTGCCTGGAAGCAGTTAAGCAGAATGCCGCCTTGAAACCCTCCTGGATTTCCAGAGTCGTTCAGGAGAAGAAACTGCTCTTCCAGTTTAGAAGGCACCGTAAAACTCTGCCAAGACCCAAGTTCGGGTTCGGCAGCTTGAGAAAAGAGGACAGACTTACCTGTGTGCGCACCGAGACCTATAACATTAACTCAGGCGTCTCTAAACGCATCCGGGTCAAAGTAAACGTGAGCTCCTGACGAGCGCTACCAGCAATATGATATTTGAGTGCAAGCAGCAGTGCAACTCTCAAATGCAGAGACGGAACAATGATCCATATTGATAAGGCGCAGGTGAAATTTTAATTTTGGAATGAACAAATCGAATTAAGTTTAGAAGTTGGGTGTTGTAATATAGTCCTGATTTCTCTATGAATAAAGTTCATAATAAGATGACTATCTGATGTTGGATGGTCTGGCTTCAACACCGTGTCAGTCTCAATATGCCAGTCGAGCTGAGACAACATTGGGTCTCATCCTATTAATCTGTCGTCAAGAATGTAACAAAATCAATCATCGTTAAATTTGGTCTGTGTAGCGAAGTTCTGGTTAACATAACCCTAACATGATCATTTTTTTGCCGACAAGAAAAACTTCTGTCAACATTCGCTTGTACTCATCACTGCTATGTATGCCACGATGCAACGGCAAAAAGGGCTCTTAATATAAATTATAATATACACCAGCTGGTCGTATTTGCAATCATCAGCTAATTATAATTTTTTTTTGTGGAGAGGCTTAACTCCGCCTTTTATTAGCTCGAATATTGTGAAATGAGAATATTATACGAAGCAAAAAGCTGTCGGCTCGTGTTACATCCAGCTTTCATTAATCGGAATGTTGTACATGTGCAATGAACTAGCTTAAACTTTATAATGTGAATAAAATGGCCAGTTATTCAAGAAAGTAACTATTAAACCTTTTAATATGAAAAAACTGTCAATATTCACCCATAAATATGAGAATGACGTAGTTAACTATGGGAGTGCAAGTTTAGCTGCGGTTCTGTATTGCCGACACTATTCATCAATTTGGGTAATTTTAAACAAGGTTTCTATTTAACTTCATAATATATAGAAAAAAACAGTCAGTTGTACAACAAAGTATCAATTAACCTTATAATTAGCATAAAACAGTTAATTATTCACCAGTAACTATAAGTGTAACGACGGAGTAGATCTGCGGGTCAGTGTTGACAGTGCAGTGGTAGTGGCCAGAGTCTGACGTACGAGCGTCGGCAACCACGAGGCTCCACTGAGACGATCCCGCTGGGTGTGACACCTGGACAAGGCAACATAATTTTTCCATTGAACGTTTAGTATGAATATTATGGTATATTGTATTATATGATATTTTATTGTATTTTATTATATTATTTTATATAATATTTTATTACAAAATATAATTTCAAATGATGACCCAATTAAAAAATTTCGTATGTATTTAGGTATAAATTCAAATGAAAAAATTTTACCCCAATGGAGAGAGAAATATTCAAAGTTTTTTTGACATATTTATAAATGTCCAATATGTCCCCCTTGTGCTGCACGGCAAACATCTAAACTGTAGCCAAACTCGTCCCACACACGAGAAAGCATATCTTCTGTTACTGAGTGCACCGTAGCAGTGATACGGTTCTTCGGATCAACCAGAGTTGCTGGTAGAGGCGGGACGTAAACAGAGTTGCTGGTAGAGGCGGGACGTAAACAGAGTTGCTGGTAGAGGCGGGACGTAAACAGAGTTGCTGGTAGAGGCGGGACGTAATCAGAGTTGCTGGTAGTGGCGGGACGTAAACAGAGTTACTGGTAGAGGTCTATTGAACGCTCAACGCCCAAGAAGTAAGCGATTCAAAAAGATTCTGCAGCTACCTCCCGCTGCCCAGTTTTTCGTTTGAATAGGTTAAAAAACATCTGAATTTTTTTCTTTAAGGTGTATAAATTATTCATTTTGATTTTATACTTAGATAATACGAATTTATGAAATTGTGCCTACCATTTAAAATAACCCTGTATTATATTTAATTATATTATGCGTCGTTATATTATATTGAGTTATATTACATTTATAACGACTAGGAATTTATATATATGTATGTATTTATATATATGTTTGTATGTATTTTATTTACAAGTTATATTACACTTATAACGACTAGGAATGTTCCTAGGAATAGGAACATTTTCCAGCCTCAATTAAAGCTTCTATATTTTTAAAGGAATGGATACAAGTTTAAACAAACATTTTTTCCAAATAATTTTCTATAAGTGACTTTTTTGAGTTTTAGTGACCATCATGTACTTTTTACACATTTTTTTCGAATATTAACGACAAAAGAGGAAAAAACTCCAACTTCGAGTCAATACGTATGTAAAAACCGCATCTCTTACAGCGAAAAATAGACCTAATCTGAGTCCCGAAACTCAAAAGATATTTTCCCTGCGACTAGAATAATCGTCTTCTCTGTTTAAAATATTTAGAGATTGATCTCGTGCTGTCCAAACAGGACGGTCGGACATCTGTAACGGGTCATGAACGCTATGCATTTCGCTGGCCTGTCTCAGGCAACTCGAGTTTTTTTTGCACTGTATATCATAGGGTGGAGAGGCTGTTGCGGTCATTAAATGAAATAAAACAGCGTTATTACGGTTTTTCTGAGTTTCTAAATCAGAAAAGCGTTGCACGGAGGGCACTGTGATTTTTTCTTATAATCCTGTTGAACGCAGCTGATACCCAAGCTGTATCTTAATGAAGTTCGAGTGCTGACTTGAATGCACTTTCAACAAAATACAGGCATTGAATGTAGATTTAGTGTACATAGGAAGAATAATTAAATATAGAATACGTGTACGTAGAAATAATTTTTAGATTTCGAATTAATGTGCGCAGAAATAATCTTTAGATTTAGAGTTAGTGTTCGTATAAATAATCTCTAAATTTAGAATTAGTGTTCGTATAAATAATCTTTAAATTTAGAATTAGTGTTCGCATAAATAATCTTTAATTTTAGAATTAGTGTTCTTTTAAATAATCTTTAATTTTAGAATTAGTGAACGTATAAATAATCTTTAGATTTAAAATTAGTGTACGTAAAAATAATATTTAAATCATTTTATTAAAGAGGTTATTCGACAAGGGATATACGCCATGAAGATAGAATGAGAGACGATGACTTTAATTTTCTGTTAACTTCGCTTGAAGAACTTTAAGTTCCTCATCGTATTGAATTACCAAGTTCCATGACTTCTATGAATATTCTTCTGGCGACTTTAAATACGATATGGTGCTTAAGAAATAGTCCAAGCCCAGACGCTGGGTAAGTTTAAAAATATGCTGAATATCTTCCTCAATTTATTCATAGAATAAATATTGGGCCAAAGGTTTGAAACGGCTTGATAAATTTTTACAGAAGCAGGCAATTTCCGAACGGCGTTCGATATACTCACGATCGCTTGGATATGAGTTCAATGTGCATTACCATTTAACAATTTAATTTGTGTTTGTTCATTTTTTTATACCGAGGAGATGCAAGAGGACATCAATTGTTATTTAATTTTAAAATTTGTTAAAATTCGAGAAAATATGTTAACTAAGTTTTCCATTGTAAATCCATTGTCTTGCCAAAATCAGCATTGTTAAGTCTATTTGAGTTGTGGCGATGTGTGTGGAGATGCCAATTAATTTTGGACATCGGAGAAGTCATTAGACGGTTTAAATAATTTTTAAATAATTTCAGTACTTCAGTTAATACTGAAATTATTTATATACCGATTTGTCTGTTGATTTACTGGATCAACACACGACTGATCCAGTAAAATAGAATGAAGAAGTTTCATATTATATTCATACCTATAATTTTTGACTTTAACCTACAAATTCATTTATGAGCATTACTTTCTTAAAATAAAAAGTATTGCCGACACGCTCTGTTAGCTGTTGAAACTGGGTCAGAATGAGCCGTACGACGCATGAACTGCATCGCTCTCTGGAGAATGACGCATTGATTTATTTGAGTGTAGGAGGGCTCGGAGTATCGAAAAATAACAAAACTTTTTGGCAAGCAATAATTTTAATGGAAACATTAGAAGCTTGTGTGCTGCCTGAAATAAGAGCTTGTGTGCCTGTCTCTTATACACATCTAGATGTGTATAAGAGACAGAAATAAAAGCTTGTGTGCTGCCTGAAATAAAAGCTTGTGTGCTGCCTGAAATGAAAGCTTGCGTGCTGCCTGAAATGAAAGCTTGTGTGATGCCTGAAATAAAAGCTTGTGTGCTGCCTGAAATAAAAGCTTGCGTGCTGCCTGAAATAAAGGCTTGTGTCTGCCTGAAATTAGTGAATCTTGTTAAAGAAAGGTTCAGTTGAAACTTTGCTCATAAAAAGTGTCATTTATGTTCATTAGATATTGAAAAGAGCGCAGTTTACCAAAAAAAAAATAACAAATAAAAAGACTGGAAAATATGAGTTTATTTGAAAGTATTTCAAACATAAGGTTAAATTAATAATTATAATTAATTGTATTAAATTATTTTTTAATTATTTATAAATAAATTATAAATTATTATTAAATTATTATTTTATTATCAATTGTCGTAAAGTAAATATTAGTTTACAACAATTGATGAAAAAATAAAAAAAAGGTACAAAAGCTCACACAATAATCTCAATTCTATACATCTGTTATTAATAAAACTTGTCCTAACAAGAGACTCCTGAGCATACATAGACTCGATAAATTCTATAGGTTAAGTTGTGTTAACTTAAGTCAGAATTTTAATCTCCTTGTTGTTCCGCACGTCTTTCTAACTGCTAATCCACGATGAAAGAAATTGAATGGGTGATACTGTCCAAATATTGGCAATATTTAGCGCATTTTCTGGAAAAATGCACTATTGTGCTCGCCATGTCCGTCCGTCCGTCCGTGACTTCACGTTTTCGTCGAGGAGAAAATCACTCTATCACTCACTGCAGTGAGTACTGAGTTATATTTTTAGCGCATTTTCTCATTTATGAAAAAAATGCACTATTGTGCTCGCCATGTCCGTCTGTCCGTCTGTCCGTCCGTCCGTGACTTCACGTTTTCGTCGACGAGAAAATCACTCTATCACTCACTGCAGTGAATACTGAGATACATTTTTTGCACTTAGCACTGATGCGTCCCTTTCAAAGTGTGTCAAAAGGAGTCAAGATGACCCACTAAAGGCTGAAGATGCAGCTCTGTTTAGTCAGTCTCACAATTGTGACTGCAATCGTATTCAAAGTTTGGGGCAAATTTTCTCGGTTCCGCAGAAATAACTCTATACTACCATTAAATAGGCTCACATCCTTCACAAAATTTTCTCTTCATAATAAATTAGTTGATGAGATTTTGATAAAAAACAGTCAATACAGCTTCATAAATATTAGGCAATAAGAACCTGTAAATATTATTAGTTTTTATCGAAAAATCGCTCATTAACTTCACTAAATTTCCCGGTCATAACAAAATATTGAATGGGTCTTCACGTGATATCATCACATGAGAATATGAGTATCATTCCGCATCATCAATGCTTATGCAATAAATAATAATCAGGACACATACGAGAATGTAATTGCCAAGTATTCAGAGTTCAGGAATTAAAGTATTTTACGAGGACAACAAGTATTATAACGAAGCTCCCCCTCCAGCTTCCGTATAAACAATGGACGTTAAGAACATTTGTCAACAAGCTTGAGCGGTAAGCTGCTTATGGAGCTCAAATGGGTCGAAAACTAAACATAAATATAAATTTGAAAGTTATGGGGATTAAGCCAATGCAAAGCTGACAGAAGGATTATAATAAAATAAAATTAATTATTGTAAAATAGAGCAGCATTCACTTAAGCTCCTCGTCGATCAACAACTCATTGCATTGCGGGATTGCATTAGGATTTCCTCTCGAAAAGTTTTAATGCTAAACCTGGATTTATGCTCACTCATGTACATCGGGATTTTTTCTGCTTGTAATCAATGCATTTATCACAAGAATATTAGACTGTAATTCCCGGCCTGTAATCAATGTATTTATCACAGGAACAAAGGATGTAATTCCCGGCCTGTAATCAGTGTATTTATCACAAGAATATTGACTGCAATTCCCGATCTGTAATCAATGTATTTATCACAAGAACATAGATATAGTTTCTGGCCTGTAATCAAAGTATTCATCTCAAGAATATTAGATTGTAATTTCTGGCCCGTAATCAATGTATTTATCACAAGATTATTAGACTGTAATTCTCGGCCTGTAATCAATGTATTTATCATAAGAATATTAGACTGTAATTTCCGGCCTGTAATCAATGTATTTATCACAGGATTATTAGACTGTAATTCTCGGCCTGTAATCAATGAATTTATCATAAGAATATTAGACTGTAATTCCCGGCAGTGCCTGAAGCTGTAAACTGTCAAGGTAATAATAGTTTTTTGTGCTGGTGGTTGAGAGGTGATAGTTGCTTAGTCATTTAATGGAATTAAAAAGCTGTTCGTTGGCTGAACGGTTGAAAAACTTAGAAGAATTTATGCATCTCTCGTTTAGTTTAGTGTAGGGTCACGACATATTACGCTGGACTGTACATTACGAGCTCTGCAAAGTAGGGGGCGAGGTTATATTTTCCGTTTATTCAGTGGGTTCGACGAACCCTGTAATGTATTACTAGAATGTCAAAAAAATAAAATTAACATTTAACGGGCATTGTAGCTCATATAGTAATACGATTATATTGCTTTATTCCATGTGAACTATATATGAATGTACTATTGATGAAAAATATTTCGAGGTTTCCTTTTATTGCTGACAGTTCGCTAAACTCACTACGATAATGAAAAAAATAAGGCCACTTGATATATCACTTTGCGATCCGCAGTAATTATAAATTGCAGCCCAGAAGTCCGCAGAAAATAAAAAATATAGAAGAGTTAATTGATTTTATTGTCTTTTAATTTCCTTGCCATTCCTTGGCTACTCAGTTTTCCGTTATTAAGTTTTCCATTGCAGAGTAGCTTAGAACGCGTCATTACTTATATTTTTTCGTACAATATTTTGTTAATCAATTTGATTTATAAGAGTTTAATACTCTAAATAAAATCAGGTAGTACAGATTTTTTTGAGAGATCTGTTAGAAGAGAAAAATAACTAGAACTGCTCTGTGAAATAAGGTTATTATAGCCTCACTAATTATATTAAGGTTATTATAACCTCACTAATTATATTAAGGTTATTATAGCCTCACTAATTATATTAAGGTTATTATAACCTCACTTATTATATTAAGGTCATTATAACCTCACTTATTATATTAAGGTTATTAGAACTTCACTAATTATATTAAGGTTATTATAACCTCCCTTATTGCGGCTCCCAAGAAAATGTTCTTAATCTCGCCGTCTAATTGTGAAGAAGTAATGAGAGCTTCTCGGAGCAGATGGTCTATGACTCTGCACTGGATAATATTTTCTAGGTGATTATAAACTTCTTATATATCTAGGTTAATTAGTAGATGATATTATGCATCATACATATCTAGGTAATTACTAGGTGATCATATACTTCATATATATCGAGCAGACACGACTTTTGTGTGGTATAATTTAGGGCTAAATTAATTTTCGAATGCAGCGTGAAAAATTAAAGAAATTACACAGAACATATAATAACTAAATAATAATTCTTTATCTGATGAGGAGAATTAATTCAATTATTTAAATGTGTGTAATACATTAACTACATTGTAAGCTAAATAATTAATGATTGAAAGCAGTAAATATATGATAATTTCTCCTTTTTAAAGAGTATGGCAAAAATTTAATGGATTTTCCGGGAACAAAAGCATGACTTACGAACAACATTAACAAGATTCTAGAACTTCATGAATTCGTAATTGTAGTTTTCAGTTACAGTATTTCAGACTTGTAAATTCTGAATGATTGTTCATTTTCCAACAGCGGTCTTTTTTCCAGTTATTTTTTCCCCAATTTATCCGCTGGAAACTGTAATTTTTCTTCTCGTGCTGATTTAAAAATGGGTTATTCTTCACGTGTTAATTTGAGTTTAAATATTCACTTTGTGAATTTTCGGGATGATAATTTATAATGTTAATTTTATTTGCTTGAATTTTATAAGTACACCGAGAAATATAAAGAACATTTGTGACATTTTCTTTGCTTATATTATTTTATTGATGCAGTTACTATGCTAGTAATCAAGTGAAGCAAATGTTTGAGCAAAACTGGGAGCGTCAATTTATACTATTTATTTGTTAGTAAATTGTTTCAATCGATTATATTTTGATGCCTTTGAAGGCGTCAAACGTTCAAAAACAACGTTTGTTATTAAAACGTTCGAAAACGTTCATTATGAAAACGTTCGAAACCGTTTGTTATGACAACGTTTGTTATGAAGCTGTTAACAAGGAGTTAACTTCTGGAACTTCCTCTCGCGCAAATCTTCTAGGAAAAATAAAGTGACGCACGTTCAAGAGTCCAGCTTTTCCATTAAAGTTAAGGAAGTTTTCTGACTTTCACGGCTGCATCTTACGAGAAAATCTCATTGCCGGAAGCTGTCATGCGCTCGCTGTAGTTAAGACAAGAGCCTTCATACGAGGACTCAAGGACTGACTTGAGTAAAATTTAAATATTTGCAGTTGTATGAAGACTTGAAAACATGAGTCGTTTTTTTTGTATCCTTTTCGTGTTGTTTCCAGGTAGATGAATTGGATGATTGTACCAAATTGGAAATGACTTTGGAAATGAGTTTCGTATTTAGGTTTCACCGGTAAATTAATTACATTTAGTTTTCCACAGAGGGAGAAATGTAAAAGTGTCTCGGATACGTTGGTAACAAATGTGGTATGGCGGCAAAAAACAAGGGACGGCTAATCTGGTCGAAGTTGTCCACGCATCACACCAGAATTCTGGCCTTTGCATTGCCGCCTTTGTACTTCTTAATGAAAATGCAATTGATTTATTAAAGGCCTTAATAACAAAATATCGCAAGACTTACAAGCTGTTTGCATGCTAACTAATATCAAAGCTTAGGTAAACACGAAAGCTTAGGTAACTCGACGAAAAGATAATCGTTAAAGCGTCTTGGTATCGAGGCGTTCACTGGAAGTCGTGTGAGCCATCATTAGAAATGAATAATCCATAAGGTCCAGAAGAAACTGAGAAATTTCTCATTATAATCACACTAATGAGTTCTTAATGAGTAACTTATTTTAAAATTACTTCATCATTGCTCATTTTTTTGCTCCTAACAGCAAATAATGAGGCACTAATTCTGCCAATCCAAGGAAGCGCGTCTCGACTCTTCGATTGTTCGATTTTAAACCCAACCTCTTCATCTCCGCGCCCGAAAATGATGCTAATGATAGCGAGTCGTGCCAAAAACCGAGCCAATGATGCGCGGAGATTTCCTAAAGAATGAATTTACCGACGCAACCAAGCAGATAAAGCAGTTCCCAGGGACTGCGCACGCTGCTACAAAGCCGTGCGCATTTTTTAACAAAGCCATGCGCCTTTTTTAACAATTTCTCGGTGTCGTGAATCCCCGCAAGCGGGCTCGGTGTATAAAACACAACTCGAAGCTTGAAAAATTGCGTAAGTTGGGAGCACGAAATGAAGCCTCGCGGCAGAGATTATCATACGTACGAGGGCTACAATAAGACAACTTAGACCAGACGTACGAGGGGTACAATAACACAACTTAGACGTGACTTACGGCGGCTACAATAACAACAAATTGGACGTGAGTCAGGGTGTTGTTGTAGCTCATGATGTGGTCAACGCGGGGCATGAATGCTCTTTAAATTCAAACCTAGCCAAAATGAACTCATCACAGTCTTGCGTTTTTGTTTGTAGAATGACATTACGTAGACTATCTTGCTCAACAAAATTTATTAGTGTGCCTGTACTGACAGCGGTTCCGAGCAAGATGGTCTAACACAGGAAAGGCATTACAATAATGGGTCTTTCTAAAAAAATTTCAGCTGGAAGAAGTAGCAACTCCAGTGGTACGTATGCAAAATATTCAGCTACGAAAATGTTGTTCGCGTGTAAATAAACTGTTTTACCGCTCGGCACTCTCAGCCAACTCTGCTCTTTAGAATTGCAATCAGTTCACAGAATATGAATTGTCGTGAGATGCTAAGCAGATAGACAACATTTTCTTTCAGTGAAAAGTGGGATTATATTTAGCTTCCAATACACTAGGAAAAATTTTTAGAAACCTCACTGAAGTTGGAAGAAATGTAGATTTTGACGTGCCAAAACATCAACGTTCGATGCTCATTCATAACTAATTTTACCGATGTTGGAGGTGCAGGTCGCTCACCTGGAACCTGCCGATGTTGGAGGTGCAGGTCGCTCACCTGGAACCTGCCGATGTTGGAGGTGCAGGTCGCTCACCTGGAACCTGTCATCAGCCGAGTACGTGAGTTGGCCTGCCGTCAGGATGTGCAGGTCACGTCGACGCATCCACGTGACCTGCAGGAGATACATGAGTTATATAATCAGATACTGTAAACAAAATATTTTACATATGTAAATCGTTTGATTAAATAATTAAAATACCTGGCGTTTTTCAATTTAAGTAATGACTAATAACTTATTAATGCCCGTACACTGTTTCCATCTAAGTTCGTATGATTGTCCACCTGATTGATGACAGTCTGCCAAATTGAATGATTTTTTGCATCATGAAATTAACGTAGTGAAGCAACTTGAAACATCCATTAAATTTAGTAAGCAAGGTCAATCATACGTAGAAGAAAATTAAATGCAACCAGCGCTACTTGCTGTTTAATACAATTTTACATGTCTGAGACCTCTCTGTTATTCTGAAAATTATATGAGCGATATTTGAAAAAAAAAGTTTTTAGCTTAGTTCTTCCAAGAAGCTCCACTTTTTTGTCGTCCAGTTCCTCGTTCAGCGGTCCGGGCATAAATAAATGTCACTCATTATGGGTTTTGTACACAACGATCACTCCTGTCATGCAAATGTTTGTCCTTTCAGTGAGTTTGTAAATCGACTGAGTTTGTAGACTCGCCAAGTTTGTAAACTCACCGAGTTTGTAGACTCACCGAGTTTATCGATCCACAATTTTCCAAAACCCGCCGAGTTTGTAGACCCACCGAGTTTGAGTTTGTAGACTCACCGAGTTTGAGTTTGTAGACTCACCGAGTTTGTAGACTCGCCAAGTTTGTAAACTCACCGAGTTTTTAGACTCACCGAGTTTATCAATCCACAATTTTCCAATACCCACCGAGTTTGTAGACCCACCGAGTTTGAGTTTGTAGACTCACCGAGTTTGTAGACTCGCCGAGTTTGAGTTTATAGACTCACAGAGTTCGTAGACTCGCCGAGTTTGTAGACTCGCCGAGTTTGAGTTTGTAGGCTCCGAGTTTATCGATCCACAATTTTTCTATACCAACCGCGTGTTGTTTTTTTACTCACCGATCTGTCGCCGAGGTGGTGCACGGTGCAGGGAAGTCGTGCCGTGTATCCCTCGTGCACCACGACCCTGGGCTTGGTCCTCCCCATGCGAGGCGGATGGAACTTATGGATGTGGGCTTCCTTCATCCGACCTTTCCCCGCCGTGGAGGAGTCGTCCTCTACCAGGAGGGAGTCGTCAGGACGTGGGTTATGTGAAATAATATAAGATTCTTCCGAGTTCAGATGGGTAGCATAGGTCTTAGAGCGTTTGTCGTCATAATGCGGGTTGTGGACATGTTGCCGGGGATGGTCCGCACTTGGTAAGTAATCGGGGAAGTTAATAGCATACTTGCGGACTCCAGATTCGTGAGAGTTGACACGTGATTCGTGAGACCTGAGTTGTATGCGTGGACTTTTTGGACTGGAGTCTTCTGTCTTTAGGTGGTAGTTGTAGAAATTGTTAGGATCTTCACTTTTATTCCAGAAATATTCATTTGTCTTTGAAGAGTAGCCGTTAAAATTGAAATGAGAATCATCGGACTTTGGGTGGCGGTCGTGGGTTTTCAAGCGAGAGTCATCAATTTTTTTGACGTAATTTTCTCCTCGCTTAAAGACATCTCCATCTCTTCCGCTGGAGTCACGTAATTTCTGGCTGGAGCTTCCAGCATTCAGGAGAGAGCCGCCCTTCAGGTAAGAGTCGCTCGTCTTGTTAGGCTCAGGGGCGATCGCAACGACAGAGGCACCGACAATCCACGTCTTGGTCGCGAGCAGCACTCCCACCAGAGCTGTTCAATTATTTGAAAATAGAAATAGCGTATAAATTTAATTAAATATAAAGAAAACATATTATAGTGATAATGCCATCGCCACTTTTACGAGGTATGGGGTACGAGGTAAGTAAGGAGGGGTTGAACACGTAAGGACAAGTTATAGGACTTTGAGTCTTGTTGACGTAGCTGTGATTTACGTTAGTTACGAGAAATTAGTCGCGATAATTTCAAGTAACGGTAAGCTAAGATGTTTTAAAATCGGACGCGAACACAACGAAAAGCAAAAATGTGCAAAAGTTTGGCAAGCATACGTTTCGATTCCACGCCAATTCAAATACAAGAAAATTTTCAGCGATTCAACTAAGGATTTTCATCTAGTGTCATCTATGGAGAAATTGAGATATATCTGGAATCCTCTTTTCCCTTAAAAATGTCTTAACTTATCAAAAGTCCAGGTCTTCGTATGACACATTTATTTTCCTGAATGCATGTTCGGAATGCTTGAGTAATTAAAACAAACGGCTAAAAATTAAAGCGATTTGAGGCTGCGTAGTTGGGGCAATTATTTTAACTTCCGTTGAGCGTTGGAGTTCCTTGTTCAACGATTCAAAATATTTGCTTGCAATAAAAATTTGTCCGCAAGAGTTTTGCTGCATTGAGGTATCGTGGGGAAGTCCTTTCAGTCTTCGTATTTATAGACGCTATTAACGCCATTAACATCGACCAGCCACCGCAAGCAGTCTTGAATAACGCCAACACTCATTAATTTCAGTCATTCACGCACTCATTTCTTTCACTCACGCGATTGTTTTTTTTTCACTCACGCACTCATTTCTTTTACTCACGCGATTGTTTCTTTCACTTACGCACTCATTTCTTTTACCCACGCGATTGTTTCTTTCACTCACGCACTCACTTCTTTCACTTACGCACTCATTTCTTTCACTCACGCACTCATTTATTTTGCGAACACACTTATTTCTTTCACTCACGCACTCATTTATTTCACGCACACACTTACTTCTTTCGCTGACGCACTCATTTCTTTCGCTCACGCCGTTGTTTCTTTCACTCACACACTCATTTCTTTCGCTCACGCCGTTGTTTCTTTCACTCACACACTCATTTCTTTCACTCACGCACTCATTTCTTTCGCTCACGCGCCCATTTCTTTTCTTCACGCACTCATTTCTTCCGCTCGCGCCGTTGTTTCTTCCATCCAAGACTGGCGGGCATTTTCCAGCGAGCGTTGAGGTATGGGTACGAGGTATGGGGTACGAGGTATGGGTACGAGGTATGGGGTACGAGGTGTGGGGTACGAGGTATGGGTACGAGGTATGGGGTATGAGGTGTGGGGTACGAGGTATGGGGTACGAGGTGTGGGGTACAAGGTATGGGGTACGAGGTATGAGGTACGAGGTATGTAAGGAGGAGTTGAACACGTGAGGAATGTTATATAATGCTGAGTCATGTTAACTGTAGCTGTGATTTACGTAGTTACGAGAAATTAGTTACGATAATTTCAAATAAGGCTCAGTTAAAACGTTTTATATTGGGCGTGGACACAACGAAATGCAAAATGTGCAAAGATTTTGCAAGCATACGGTTCGAGTCCACGCCAATCGAAATACAAATACATTTTTAGAGATTCAACTAAGGATGTTCGTCGAGTATCATTTTATGAAGAAATTTAATTATATCTAGGATCCTCTTTTTCCTCTTAAATTGTCGCAACCTTTCAAAACTCCAGGCATTCGTATGAGTGCATGTTTTGAATACTTGAGTAATTAAAACAAACGCCTAAAAATCAAGACGATTTGAGGTCACATAGTTGGCGCAATCATTTTAACTTCCGTGACGCGTTGGAGTTCCATTGTCAATGATTCAGAATATTTGCTTGCAATATAAATTTGTCCCCAAAAGTTTTGCTGCATTGAGGTATCGTGGGGAAGTCCTTTCAGTCTTCGTATTTATAGACGCTATTAACGCCATTAACATCGACCAGACGCCGCATGCAGTCTTGAATAAGGCAAACACTCATTAATTCCAGTCATTCATGCACTCATTTCTTTCAGTCACGCGATTGTTTCTTCCACTCACGCACTAATTTCTTTTACTCACGCACTCATTTCTTTTGCTCACGCACTCATTTCTTTCACTCACGCACTCATTTATTTCACGCACACATTTATTTCTTTCACACACGCACTCATTTATTTCACGCACACACTTACTTCTTTCGCTGACGCACTCATTTCTTTTGCTCACGCCGTTGTTTCTTTCACTCACACACTCATTTCTTTTGCTCACGCCGTTGTTTCTTTCACTCACAAACTCATTTCTTTTGCTCACGCCGTTGTTTCTTTCACTCACACACTCATTTCTTTCACTCACGCACTCATTTCTTTCCTTCACGCACTCATTTCCTCCGCTCGCGCCGTTGTTTCTTCCATCCAAGACTGGCGGACATTTTCCAGCGAGCGCCGATGAAGCCGTGAATGTGAATGAAGTGCTGGGTATCAGCGAGCCTTAAGAGCGTCTAATGAAAAACTCGCCTGAATTGCGATATCGTCTCCAAGACACAAAAGCTGGCAATTGCATAACGCGAAGACGTCGTTTCGTAAGACGGAGTATCAAGACATGAAGACGTCTTTCCGTAAGACGTAGTATCGGGAAGGCCGTCAGTATAGGCCGCACTCGAGGCCTATGCCATCAAGGCCTCTTTCGTCAACGCAAATTGTACGCAATCTGTCGTCTCAGTGGCCGCAAATGGCATCAGATTTGTGGTCTCAGTTCGTGCAAATGGATGCGTGCGTTATGGCAGGAGCTTCAAGAGGCACTCATGTCCACAATGTAATTGAAAGCAAACGCAAGGAGTGGAATCGTGCCGTCATGCAGCGTCATTCAAGCTTGTGTTTGTAGAGGAATGCATGCGGGACGAAGACATAGTTTGGTCTCATTGTTAAATTTAAAAAAGAAAATTAACATTGAATAGCGATTTAGATGGAATTTTTATATTGTTTGTATTTTTATGGCCGAATTTTGGACATTCTTGATGAATCGCCTACACCACCAAAACAATCATCACCATCACCACATACTACCCAACACAATCACCACCATCACCACATACAGTACTACCCAAATAACACCGCCTCCACCACCACCTTACCAGAAGCACAGCCACCCCTACAACAGGCACCACCACCACCACCACCACCACCACCACCACCACCAACAAAATTAGTTAGGCATCGTACGTCGCGCTTTACGAAGCGATTCGTGCAGAGGAACTGCACGCATTCGTAACGCAGACGCGCTTCCGCTCGCCCGACTTTTGGTGCAGCTAAGTAACGTTCAGTCGTTACCGTTACCCGTGCTTAACGATACCCGTAGCATCCTGTGCCGAATGCAATAGATGGTTAGCAACCGAGAGTTTAGTGGATGGAACAGATGGTTACTGATAGAGAACTCAGACACGATGTTCAGCCAGGTTAAAGTCCAGTTTATTAAAAAAAACATCTTTTTAGCAGCATCATCCATTATCAGCCTTCCTCATCCTTCCTCATCCATTATAGCAGCCTCATTCGTTTGAACTTCACTAATGGTATATAAAATAATGACATACTTTATATAATAAAATATCTTACTACAATAATATAAGCACGTGTAAATCAGAACTCACGGATTTTAATAGTTAATAATGTCACCTACTAATTATGTTATATAATTATGCAGCTATTATTACAGCTTGATCAATGACACCTTTAATTAATATCTCGTGATTTTGCTCAGAAAAATAAATTAACGCGGTCGCATGGGCTTTAATTAGGCGAGTAGCAGGCAGCATAATTTTTTTGTGCTGATTAAAGGTGTAGGCGCAGCGTTAGGCGCAGCGCTAGGTGCCGCGTTAGGCGTTGCGTTAGGCGCCGCGTTAGGCGCCGCGTTAGTCGCCACGTTAGGAACCGCGTTAGGCGCCACGTTAGTCGCCACGTTAGGCGTTGCGTTAGGCGTCACGATAGGCGTCACGTTAGGCGTCACGTTAGGCACCACGTTAGGCGCTGCGTTAGGCGCTGCGTTAGGCGCTGCGATAGGCACCACGTAAGACGTTGCGTTAGGCGGTGCGTTAGGCGCCACTTTAGGCACCACGTAAGGCGTTGCGTTAGGCGCCACGTTAGGCACCACGTAAGGCGTTGCGTTAGGCGCCGCGTTGGGCGCTGAGTTAGGCGCCGCGTTAGGCGCCACGTTAGACGCCGCGTTAGGCGCTGAGTAAGGCGCCGCGTTAGGCGCCACGTTAGGCGCCACGTTAGGCGCCACGTTAGGCGCCACGTTAGGCACCACGTTAGGCGCCACGTTAGGCACCACGTTAGGCGCTGCGTTAGGCGCCACGTTAGGCACCACGTTAGGCGCCACGTTAGGCGCCACGTTAGGCACCACGTTAGGCGCCGCGTTAGGCGCTGCGTTAGGCGCTGCGTTAGGCGCTGCGTTAGACGCCACGTTGGGCACCACGTTAGGCGCTGCGTTAGGCGCAACGTTAGGCGCTGCGTTAGGCGCTGCGGTAGGCGCTGCGTTAGGCGCCGCGTTAGGCGCTGAGTTAGGCGCCGCGTTAGGCGCCACGTTAGGCGCTACGTTTGGCGTTGCGTTAGGCGCCACGTTAGGCATCACGTTAGGTGCTGCGTTAGACGCCACGTTAGGCGCTGAGTTAGGCGCCACGTTAGACGCTAAGGTAGGCACCATGTTAGGCGCCACGTTAGGCGCCACGTTAGGCGCCACGTTAGGAGCTAAGTTAGGCACCACGTTAGTTGCAGCGTTAGGCGCTACGTTAGGCGTCACGGTAGGCGCCACGGTAGGCACCACGTTAGGCGCCGCGTTAGGCACCACGTTAGGCGCCACGTTAGGCGCTAAGGTAGGCACCACGTTAGTTCCAGCGTTAGGCACCAAGTAATTATATTACTAACTATATTTATTTGTTGCTACTTAAATGGAATAATTACGGGAAATGTAAACCCTACCAA